CCCACACACACTCACACACCCAGGCGGCTCGTTGATTTGGTGGTTTCCCCTCCCCGTCTGTGTGTGTGCAGGGTCTGTGCTGTGCATAAGCTATCACGCCAAGGACAAGCTGCTCTACACGTACACACGGCAGAAGAGAACAAGGCAGACACACAACACACGCTGCAGCAGAGAATAAATGGCCTTTATCTGTCTGTGGGGTGCAGTGGCGGCTATGACGGCCACGTGCACCTGTGGAAGATCCCCGAGCCGTGGGAGTTTGACGCTTACACAAACGAAATATTCTGTAGGCCAGGCCAGGCCACACACACACCACCCACACCCACCACTCGCCACTCACACGAGTGAGGCCACTGTGTTCCCTCCCTCCCTCCCTCCCTCTGTCTGTCTGTCTGTCTGTCTGTCCACTCCCTCCCTCCCAGCGCTGCAGCTGCCTTCGTGGAAGGGCCACACCGAGCCGATATGGTCGATCAGCCTCGCTCAGGAACATGTGGGTGGCTGCACACACACCGATATGACCACTCGTTCTGTCTCATGTGGTGTTTTTCTGTGTGTGTGTGTGTGTGTGCTTGTTTGTTTCCACCCACCAGGATGCCATGGCGACTGCGTCGTCCGACGGCACCATCCGGCTGTGGGCCATGGCCCCGGACGACCCCGTCATTCTGCAGACTGAGACTGATACCAACACAGGTCTGTCTGTCTGCCACCCCACAGCACACAACACATGGCAGATCGACAAATGTGTGTGTGTGTGTGTGTGTGTGCAGATGAGTGTGACATTCCGACAATGGTGATGTGGGCGCCCTATCTGACCGGCGGGCTGCTGGCCGGCTACCTCTCGGCTTCACTCAGGCAGTGGGACCCGATGCACGTACCCAACCTGCCACACACACACAGAGAGAGAGAGAGAGAGAGTTCCTCTGAAATGGCTTACATCTCTGTGGGTGTGTGTCTGTGTGCGTGTGGTTGCAGCAACGTTGCGTGGCCCTGATTGACACGGGTGGTGACGACGACGGCTCGGCGGGCGTCAACACCATCGATGTCGCTAACAGCTCCTATGGTGACGGACGGACTGACGGACTCAAGACTGACTGATCGACTGACCACTGAACCATCCCACCCCTCCGATCATCTCCTGTGCTGTTTGTTGTGTGCAGCCCTTGTTGGCCACACGGATGGCTACGTGCGGGTCTTCGACTTTGCCAAAGGTAAGTGGATCGGTGGTGGAGGAGATGTGGATCACCCTCTCTGTCTCCCTCTCCCTCTGTGTGTGTGGTGGGGTTTGCTGTCCTGTCACGCTGGCCAGGGGAGTGCCACACGTTTGGTGAGCAGCACCCCGACGCAGTGACGTCCATCAGCATCGACAGAAGGGGCGGCTGCCTCTACGCCACGGCCTGCCACGACGGTAGGCACACACACACACACACAGACAGATGCATCCCAGCGTGTGTGTGTGTGTCTGTCTGTCCGCAGGGGCGGTGCGGTTCTACGACGTGAGGAAACCGGGGCTGCCCATCGAGCAGCCGCTGCAGGTCTGAGTGGGGACCGGCACGCACTCCACTCTTCGTGTGTGTCAATGAATGCTGTGTGCCCTCTCTCTCCCCCTGTGTCTGTGTGTGTGTGTTAGATCCACAAGCGGAAGGGCGACGAGGGCTGCCACTGCGTCCTCTTCAACCCCATGACCACACCGCCACAACTCGGTAATAAGCAGGCAGACAGACAGACAGACAACACACCGACATGAGATAGATGAGAGATGAGCCCCCACTCGACCATGTGAATGTGTTGCTGTGTGGCGCCATGCACACACACACACACACACAACCACACGCAGGTCTGATGGTGACTGGAGGTGCCGACTCGCTCATCAACCTCTTCTGCACCAACCCCGACTGACTGACAGACCGACCGGCCGATCTGTTGTGGCCGCCTCTCTCCCTCTCTCCCTCGCTCTCTCTCTCTCCCTCTGGTCTGGTCTGCTTGGCTGTCTTGTGTTTTGTTGTGTCCGTCGGAGGCTTGCTTGTCTCGTTGGCTGGTTGGTTGTAAGTAGGGGATGGATGTGT